CGTGTACGTGTGTGTGTGTGTGTGTGTGTGTGTGTGTGTGTGTGTGTGTGTGTGTGTGTGTGTGTGTGTGTGTGTGTGTGTGTGTGTGTGTGTGTGTGTATATATATATATATAGTGGCTAGGGAAACTAAAGTTCAGAATTTCATTTTAGTCACAGAAAAACATGGATTTATATGGGGCTTTTTTAAATCAGATAATTTTGGGTTTTTATCACAGAAAACTAGGATCCCTGAAGATTACCAAGGCAAAGACAAGAGATTTTTCTGGTAGGAGAGGAGTTTAGAGGCAATAATACTTTATACTTACACAGTCTCAAAACATGTTTAAAAAATGGGTAAACACCCAATGAAGTACTGGGTGATGAAGTAACTTGTTGGTTGTCACAAGACAAGAAACAATGACAGAATTAGAAATAGATTTCAGGTCTCCTGACCCACAACCTCATGTTCAGTCCATTAGATCATAGCATCCTTCTTGTTAGAGAGGGAGAAGCAATAGGATCTGGTGTGAGTTTGGATCTGTGAAAAGAAGCCAAGAGAGCAGTGACATATAAAAAGTGAGGTTACAAGCCTGTTGAGTGGGAAGAACACTGGAGTGTTAAACAGAGATGGAGAAGTGATGGTTTGGAGGCAGTTTTGGAAGAAAGATAAGAAATTCAGTGTGATGTTATATGATTAAAATATGACCACATAGATCATTGTTGCTACCACTGTTGTACAAATGAAACAAGGCTTGTACAAAGTATGTCATGTACGGTGTCAATAGAAAAGTTATGGTTTGCTAAATATGATTATCCTATTTGTATTCATGTATCATTTTTGTAGCTGAAGTTATGCATATTGACTATGTACCTACATTTCAAATGTGTTTGCTCCTGTGGTAACACCCATAAAGCAGTTTACATCCAGTTTAGCCAGCACATTGTGAATGGAGTATTAGAGCTGATGGCCCATCAACAAACACAATTGGCCATGGAAAAAGCCATGAATTTTCCTGTGGACACTTCAGCCAGACTATGGGTAATGGCTGCCATGACTCATCGAATCATGCAATGGCATGTGACCACCTCATGTGAAACTAAACTCCATCTTGTGCCTATACTTTTCCACAAACTGTGATGAGGGCTTTGCTTGGAACAAAGAGTTTCCCTCCACATGTCAGAAGCTATGAAAGGCCTTGGAAACATCTCCATTTTGTCTCTTTCCTGGACTATGGACTTACACTAATGGGAGCATTCTAACCAAAGGACTGAGGATCTTCCAATCATTTGGAAACAACCAGAGACTTAACTAGCCAGCAAGTTTATTTCGTCACTGCTTCAAGTGTGATCTAAAAACTTGCAATTATTGTATGTATTTGATTCCTTTAATCAATTTAAACTCTGACCTCTTTCTTTTCTCTTATAAATAAACCTTTAGATATTAGATACTAAAGGATTGGCAACAGCATGATTCTTGGGTAAGATCTGAGTTATATATTCACCTGGGTATGTTGCTGGTCCTTTGGGATCAGAAGAACCCTTTGGTTGATGAAATTGGTTATAAATAACCACTCATCATTAAGTCTAGTGTCTGGGTGTTGAAACAAAGAGTGGAATACCTAAGGAGGATGCATTTCTGACTTCTTGTTAGCCAGTGTGGTGAGACAGAAGTATACTTTTGTTGCTGAATAACCACCAGTTATGGGGTGTGTCTGCCCTATTTCTCAGCAGTTTGTCCTGAATTTGGTATTCTCAGTTCTGACCCATTGAGGCATGGTGACATTCAGGTTTTCCCTTTTTCAGGGTGGAGCAGTGGTAGGACAGTCAGGTGGAGATAAAAATATTAGATTGAACAGAAGGAGATAGGATCGAAGTTCATTAGTCAAACTGGGAGTCCTTTGCAAATACATGATAGTTGAAACCATGGAAACATGAGTTTGCCCTGGCACAGAACACAGCAACAGCAGCAGAAGAAGAAAGGGGAGGGGCCATGAACAGAACCCTAGTGGTTCGCAATGTATCCACCTAAACTATATGAAAACCAGCCTTTTATTAAACATCACTCTCCACCTAATAACGGCTCATTTTTAATAAACAGTACATCCAATTTAAGATTAATTCTGTGTGAACCAGAACAGAAAATAGTATATGCCACATACAATCTCACAGTAACTACTAACAGCATTCAAACCGAATACTCATTTAAAGGCCAATCGAAAATCTTTTCCACCTTAGGACATATTCTTTCGACTTAATGATCATGAAAGATATCAGATAACTAGGATGATAATGGAGTACACAACTTGGTGGTCTCCATTTCTGCACCTGCAAATTGTGGGTGCAAATAATAGCAGGTGCTATTTTTTTAGCCACCCCTTTAGGTTAGACAGACTCAGACTTCAAGGTGTTTTAAATGTCACCCATAGTTTTTCAGGCACAAAAAATGGAGGCCTTCAAATATATTCCATCTCTAACTTCAATCATCTTTCCTTAGAACAACACCAGATGTACTCACCAAAGCACTACTGCAATTCACATTCTAGAAGTTCTCAGTGTTTATCAGTTGTCTTCGAATTTGAAATTTCTGTGTCCACCACAATACAGGTGCAAGTTGTGCAGAAGCCTCTAAAACAACATAGGATGATCTGTACATGTAATTTAACCCTAAATCTCTGACAATAATATTTGAACTCTCAATCTACGAATCATCAGAAATGTGATTCGTCAAATCTAATCAGTTCTGCACACTTCCAATTATGTGAGGTAGATACATGTGAATATTATTATTTTTGTAAAGTTAGATCCAATATATACTACTAACAATTACACAATATTATATCCACATTATCTTATACCTAACCCCCTATAAACAGACAGTCAGAATGAGGGAAACTTGTCTAGTATTTCAAAGTAGTGTTAGAATGAGAGAAAACAACAGGAAGGATATGGATGGACAGAAACTTTAATAGCAGCTCTTCTGATAGGATGGAAAGGGCTAAGTATACATAAGGCACGTGTGGCAGTAAATCGGAAGATTCTCTTCTTTTTATTTAGTACCATAAAAGTCTGCAAGACAAAAGAGACTCATAACATTAGAAATATGCCAACTAAACAATGTTTTTCCAGAAACTAAACATCTAGGCTTTTAAAATTTATGCCCAGAACTGTAGCTAATCCTGAGTAAGAGTGTGATTTTGCTGTATACTTACTTGGAGCTCAGGCTTACTAATACTATTTGCTATCATGCCAATACATTACTGTAAGATCATTCTTATTTTGTCCTGCTGCCTCTTCCTCCGAGGAAATAACTATTATAGGAAACAAACCCCCACACTCACTTTGCCAAAGTAATTAAAGGCTATTAATTATGGGCCAAATTCTGCTACCCTTACTCATGCTCAGTAATACCTTACTCTTCCTGGAGTCCCGCTGATTTCAGTGGGCTATTCACAACCCTATGGAACTACTCAGTGTAAGACTGCCAGAACCTGGCCCCATGAAAATAGGAGTTCTAGCACAAAAATCCCTAAATTTTTGTGCATCTCTGTCAGCTCTCACTATGAAATACCCTGCTCCAAAAATGACCAACGTTCTTGTCAGAAACAGACAAAAACCTAAACAAATACCCAGGGGTAAAAGTAATTTACAGGACTTACCGGTACTGCCGGAGCCCTGAGGGGGACATGGCATCATCTGGAAGAGACGGGGCCTCAACTGGAAGAGGCGGGGCCTCTCAAGATTTAAAGGCCCTGGGGCACCGGTTGTGGCTGGGAGCACCAGGGCCTTTAAATCAACCCGGGGCTGGCAGCTGCAGAGGTGGCTAGGAGCCCCCAGGGCTCAGGGGCAAATTAAAGGGCCCGGGGCTCCGGCCGCCGTGGAGCTCCGGGCCCTTAAAATCCCCCCCGCAACTCCGGTTGCCGGAGCTGGGGGGGGGGGGATTTAAAGGGCTCGGGGCTCCCCGCAGCTGCAGGAGCTCCGGGCCTTTTCAATCCCTGCCCAAGCCCGGCAGGGGCCGGAATTTAAAGGGCTTGGGGCTCCCGCGGCTGCGGGGAGCCCCGAGCCTTTTAAATTCCAGCCCCAGCCCAGCAGCCGGGCTTGGACATGGATTTAAAGGGCCCGGAGCTCCCGCGGCTGCGGGGAGCCCCGAGCCTTGCCGGGCTGGCGCTAGGATTTAAAGGGCCCGGAGCTCTGGGCCCTTTAAATCCCAGCCCCAGCCTGGCCACCAGAGCTGTGGGCAGGATTTAAAAGGCTCTGGGTTCCCCGGAGCACCAGGCCCTTTAAATCCCCGCCGCGGAAGCCGGTGCGGTCCGGCACAGCATGCTAGCTCTTGCACGTATGCCGTACCGTACCAACTTACTTTCACCTCTGCAAATACCCTAAATTCAAGATAATGTTTATGTTAACATTCCTGTAACTTCTTCAAATGAATTAGACTCCTCTTCTCTACTCTAAGAATCCCAGCCTGTAACAGCACTTGAAGACAAAGTGAATCTATTTACACATTACAAAATGGTCCTGGGAGTTTTATGATGAAATGACTTGTACATGATTAAGCGTCAGTAGCCTCTATGAATATGATGTCCTTTCTCATGTATAATGTAGCCTACAAGTTGATTCAGTACAATTCCTCCTTCAACATATCAAATATACACACATGTTTTTCAATACTACACTCCTATATCCAAATTATATTGCTTCCTCTTGGGAATACTGTATTTACATAACCACATATCATTGCAGGTTGAAAATAAATTCTGATCTGATTGAGCTAAAAATCTACTGCCCTCTGGGATTTGAGTTTGGGTTTTTTTCTCTATACAAAGCTGTAATGCGCGCTAATAAAAATGCTCTCATTACAGCAGAAAAATTATTATTTATAAGGAAAAATATTCAATAAGGAGGAATTGAAAGATTTTGATGGGGTGGACTAGGAGTTGAGGCCCCCTGCTTGGAGGCTTTGTGGCCCTGCCACACCCCGCCCCAGAAAAGGGCAGTAGAGAGGTCCTCCAATATGCCTAAAGCGGGTAGTGGGAAGCAGCCAATCAGGGCCCGGCAGGTTAGTATAAAAAGAGCTGCAGGGCTAGAGTAAGTTCTGTTCCTAAAGGGTGGAGGAGAGGGGGTGGTGCTCCAGGCTAACTGCTGGGACTGCACCAGGACAAGGCGCTGAGGTAAGTGTGAAGAATGTGCTGGAGCCATGGGGAAGTGGCCCAGGGAATTGTAGCAGTAATGCAGTGTATTTAAAGGGACATGGCTGATGGCTGCTATCGATAGGGTCCCTGGGTTGGGACCCGGAGTAGAGGGTGGAAAAGTGGCCTGGACTTTCATACACCCCAGAAGGGGAACAAACCCCTTTTAGTGGCCCAGCTGAAGAGCTGGGGCCAGAAAGGCCCAGCGAGGTGAAGAATCTCCAGGGAGGGAACCCTGGGGGACATGGCCCCACACCAGGACTGGGACTGCTTAAAGGGCAGGTAGAATTTGAGGGAGCCCAGAAGGGGCTGAGAGACAGTTTGGTCTAGGGTACTTGATAGGCCTTGCTGGACTGATTGAAGATAGGGCTGCAGATTGAAGGATCTTACAGAGGGTGCACATAGGCCCCCGATTGGACTTATTTTTTATTTTTTTAATACTCCGGAAGGGGTTTGCTTTGCTTTTATCACACAGACAGACTGTGTGAGACTCGGCCAGAGGACTGAGTCACCGAAGACCCACCACAAAAGAGGAGAGAGAGAGTGCAGGCACATGCACTCAGCCAGGGGGCGCTCACAAGAGGTGAGTCCAACCCAGTTACAAAGATATGTAAAGCATTTAGTTGTGTTGTGCTATTTTCTCATTCCTCTTGGAATGCAGGAAAACTAACTGCAGTAGGCCATCAAATAGGGAGTGATCAATAGCTGTCAGAGAAGCTATTTGTGTTACTGTGATGTCAGTCCAACTAACCTGCACTGGTCACATAATCCATTACATAATACGTCATTTGCCAAATAAAATATTTTCTGTTCAAGAAGTAGTAGTATATTTTCATAATCAATATAATTTGCTCACTGGGTTTTAAAATTAAGCTTTCGTTATAATGAGTTACTGTTTAACATGTCATTAGGTAACCCCTAAAGTAAACCAACGAACACTATTAATGTAATGACAGCTGGTAAAGGAAGGACCAAAAGAAGAATCCACTGGCTAAAGCATTTCTCATCTTTTAACATATAGACAAAATAAAATCAGTAACACATGATGACTTTAACCTTGTGATCATTGTAGTACGGATCAAGATCTTCCAAGGGTTCCCCGATGAGCTCCAGAGGAGGATTCCCAAAGAGAGCAGGCAGCTTTTTGCAAGCTCTCAGATAAGGTCGGGGCTGACGTTTTTTTACTTCAGCCTGTTGATCTTTACTTTTCAGCTTAGCCTTGGCTTGCTCTGTTTTTTTCTCAGCAATTCGCTTCTCAATTGTGGCCAACGATTCACATGTGAAAAGATGGAAACCAATATCATCTGATGATAAACTGAAATGATCCATCTTTTCATTCTATTTCTTCCACTTCCAATATTGGGAATAACTAAAAAGAAGGTACAAGTAAAGGGATATAAGTAAAAGGAAGCTAACAGAAACAACAATATCATTAAGCTTAACAACTGTAAGATAACTATTTCTGCATTCACTTCTGACTGTCGAACTACTAGGTAAAAATAAAACAAAACCAACTGGAACCATATTCTCATAGGAAGAAAAATAATATTTGTGGTTTCAGTTTTAAATTAAATGAAAATGATTCTGGGAAGTGATAGAATCACATCTGCGTCAGAGCTCTGACAAGCATCTTATTTTTATCCTGTGTAACACCCCCACCATATTAGAGACCTTGCACCCCAGCCACCGTTCTTTCTGCAAAGGATAATTAGTTAAATATCTAGCAACTGTCTCCTACGTTGTCCAAAGTGGTAACTACATAATTCTGCAGTGTAGTCACTTCTTGCAGTAGGAATAACAGGGTCTCTTCTTACAGATCTTGAGCCATCAATGCTCCCTCCAAGGACCACCCCCTCCACAACAGCACAAGCAGAATGGTTATTTTCCATACTGTTTTCTGCCTCTGTGAAAACTGAATTTGCCCAGAATATATAAAATTACACATAAAAACTATATTATAAGAATATTATTAAGCTAATGAAGTCAAGCACTCGTAAGTTGGAAAATGGAAGAATTAAGGTTGTGATGGGTTGGGTCACAGAAACTCCCTCAAGACTGTCACTAGATGTGCTGGGATATCACTGAGAACAAACCCCCCTGCCAGAAAAGGCTTCCTCCACTCCCGTCTTGCTGAGCTAGACACACCAGTCAGCTCCAGCACAGACAACGAGGTTGGGCCACACACCCCTGGAGTTCACAGAAATTAAGATTCACTTAGCCCAGGGGCTTCTCAGTTAACAGAGCCTTTCCCAGCACCCAGTATTCAGTCTTTCTGGGAGCCTAAACCCTGAATAAATCCATTTTACTCTGTATAAAGCTTATACAGGGTAAACTCATAAATTGTCCGCCTTCTATAACACTGATAGAGAGATATGCACAGTTGTTTGCTACCCCAGGTATTAATCACTTACTCTGGGTTAATTAATAAACAAAAGTGAGCTTATTAAGTATAAAAAGTAGAATTTAAGTGGTTTCAAGTAATAACAGACAAAGTAAGTTACCAAGCAAAATAAAACAAAACACGCAAGTCTAAGCCTAATGCATTAAGAAACTGATTACAGATGAAATCACACCCTTCGAGATGTTCCAATAAGCTTTTTTCACAGACTGGTGGTGATAAGCCCTTATTGAGAATCTCTTCCATTTAGTCACGTTTCTATTCCTAGTAGAATCTTTCCTACAAAGAATGAGACTGCTCTGTACTGTCAACGAACAAGCTCTCCCTGCTTAAGTTAGCCATTCAATATCTATGCTGTGAAGTGAAAACTGCATGCATGGCTCAGGGTGTCAGACTTGACTGTGACTCTGAGACAGTATGTCCAGTGCAACAGTAAGGTTATGGGAAGTTGAATGGACAAGAATTGGAGAACCAAGAATCAAAACTGCCTTGAGCATGCCTGGACTATTAATAACAGTTTGGCTGCTTGCTGCTGTGAGTTTTCTGAAAAAAATCGATTGAATCAATGTGATCAGAGGAAACACATTAAAGGTAAATCTACACTGCACACTCCCTTTGGTAGCATGTAGAGTAAATACACTACTTGTATAAATAGCACTGTAGACAATGAGATACTGCTTAGGCAAGCGGGTAAGGACATGCCTGAACCCTGTGGGAAAAGTACACCATTTGCCCAAGAACTGCCTTCCCTGCCTACACTGCTATTTTTAGGTTGCAGGTAAAGGCTCCCGCAGTGGGGAAAGGCTCTGGCAGCTCCTCCCTGCCAGAGCCTTTCACTGACATGTGTAGCTACACACCAAAAGCAGGACCCAGCCTGCTTTTCACTACTGCATGTAGCTACCCATACGCTACATCTTGCCACCAGTGGCATGCAGTGTAGATGCAGTCATAAAAGATCTGTGACCCAAGAAATCAGAAATGTATCAGCGATTGATCCTGGGCTCTCACCCCTTTTGGAGCAGAAGCAATAAGATTTTCTGTTTTCTCTGGTCACACACAGGTCTACCATGGGGAACACCCACTTGTTGAAAAAAAAAACTGCTCGAATCACCTTGTCCTTTCTTGTCCATTTGTGGTTGCCAACAAATTATCTGCTGAGGTGATCTGCTGGAACATTCTGCAGCTGCCTTGAATGTGATCCTATAATGTATGCAAATATGTATCACCTCCTGACACAGGGGTATGGATCTTGCCCCACTCTGCTTATTCAGGTAAAACATGGCAGTCATATTATCTGTTATGACCTGTATCGTAAGACCCTGGATGGTTGGTAGAAAGTCTCACGAGCTCAATCAATGGTTCTTAGATATAGGCTACCTATGTGAAGAGTGGATTCCTAAGCTGTCCATAACCACTATATTCAAACGCTGCCCATGTGAGCTCTCCAACCCAGTGTGGATGCATCTGTCACCAGAGTTTTTGACAGAAGCTGAGGAGAAAAGGGAATCCCTTTGCCAATGTTAACTAAATCCAACCACCACCTTGACAATGACAGGACTCGAGGAAGAACATAAACCAGAATGTCCAAGTGATGCTTGTTTGTTTGATACATAGACTTCAACTAGCCCTGTATACAACACAGGTGAAGGCTGGCATGCTGAGTCATGAAGATACAGGATGCCATATGGCTTAGTGATTTGAGACATGATCTCACAGTTGTTCTTTGGTATATCTGTGGATTGTTGCAGAGGTTGTGCACAACTTGAAATCTTTCTGGAGGTTGATAAGTCATTGCTATCATCAAGTCTAGAATGGTCCTGATGAATTCTATCAACAGACTATTCATTAAATCACAAATATAAATACAGAGGAATGTGTAAATTGACAGAATTCCTCAGCAAAAAAAGTCAGAGTCAGGAAGGTCTTTTCTTCTTGTTTATAACAAGAAAGTAAAATAAGTTAAAAATAAGAAAAATACCAGTTTGGGGTTTAACTCAGACCTAACCATGAGTGCAGATTCTGACCTTCCCAAATGTGTTCACTCTCCTCTGTGTTCACCAGCAGACACTCTAACAGACTTTCCTATGAGCACCTGTGCAAGGGGAAAGGAAGAGGGAGTTCTGTGTATCAGGATCACAGGGTGCTTCTGCACCCTGTCATAAGGGAATAAAGAACAAAACTTTGGCTTATGTCAATGACATTCTGATATTCATCACAAAATCAAATGCCGCTGAAGATTATTGAAATAGAAAAATCCAGCTCTAATGTTTTTTTAAAGTCTATGATAGAAGCCACTATAATTAGTCCAATTCTATACATTTGGTATCTCAAGTCCTATAAATGGAGTAAAGGAGACTTCTGAAACCTGGAATAATAATACACTTGAACATAAACAGTAGAGAACTACCTCAAAATGAATAAATAAAAAAAATTAAGCACTTGGCTAACTTTACCATTAGCCCTAGTTGGTAGAGTAGGACTCAAATAAAATATCCTACCAACATTTCTGTTCCTGTTTATATATTTACACTATTAATAAAGCATCAGGAAACGTATCACCACACAGTAGCCAGTTTGAGAAAACCCTATAGATACAATGGGCTAGACTGTGCAGCGCTTATCGCACAAGGAGTCCTATTTTGTAAGTGTTCACCAATATTTGTAATAGTATGGTTGCAAGTTCTAGTCCAATATTACCAAACAAATTACAGATCAAACTAGATAGTGCTAAAATCAGTTTGAGGAGTACTGGGCATTAGCCAATGAGCTACATGTAACACATGAAATAACAGAACAAACAACAGCCTTGAGTTAACAGTAGAAAGATGTCAACATTTAGAAAGATGTCACTCTGTCACATATAATCTGAATAAATAGCTGAATAAATAGCTGCATATTTACTGAAGTACAACAATTCTGTACCATTTACGAATCTATGTTTTTACCTCTATATAATACCATGCCTGAGAGCTGTCTTTCTGCAGGCATATGCTTCATGCACATTTACGTGAGAATTTACTAGAAATTTTTTCTGTAAAAGACAAGCAGTTTTTAAAATTAACAGATCCCAGTATTACAAGATTTTCATACTTGGAAACAAAAAGACTTACATTTTTCCCTTCTAAACAAAAGCCTGTAGATTCATTTCATCATATCCAAAGTGTCTAGTTAATATCTCCTAAAAAGTAAAAAAAACCTTCTTACTTTGTTACCCTCTCTATTGTCTTCTTGAGAAAGTCCTCTCAATCATAGCTAGCTACTGACTCAGAAAGTGTGGCATCTGTATGGGCTGGATGGGGTGGGGGAGAAGTGGGAGGAGTATGTTGTTATCTTGAAAGTAGTTAATGTGATTTTATAGACTCATTAGAAACATTGCAACCTGAGGAAATAAGTGCGGATAATAATCATTTAAATATTGCTGAATTATTTTATCCCTGCAGAAATGTTAATGTTGCTGATAAAACCCAAAAGGCTCACTGTTCAATGTAAACCAAACACAGAGAAAAAAAAACAAAAGCAGAATCTGTCTTGAATCTCTTACTTGTATACAATGGACTTTCAGTAAAGATACTTTTGTATTAATATTTATTTTCAGTGTTTCCTTCACTTTCCTACAACACTTCAGCACATACGGGATGCATAATCTACAATTGCTACTTAAAGGATACAGTACCATAAAAATTAGAAAAAGACACAATATTAATTGGGGCAAAAATAAGTGTGTGTAGTACATGCATGAATACAATTCCTATCCAAAAGCTTTTAATACAGGAAAAAGGTGTGTGTCAAATGTTTAACACATGTAGAAAAGATCAACTAGTTGAAACCAGTAAAAAAAAGTTTGTGTTGATGAGAGAGGTAAAAGAAATTGAATTTACTTGTTGACCCTCTATTCTCGCCATTACCTGAAGATTTACCTTGGGCTTTATAAACTAATCCAAAACATA